ACACACACACACACACACACACACACACACACACAAAACAGGGAGCGCAGGCTAACTGCAGACAGAGGGTGTGTGCTGTCAGCTCCCCAGGGTCAGGCCTGTGGCCCCAGAATCTAAAACAGAGGAAGGGACAATAGGCCTTATGCAGACATTGGTTCCCACCAGGCCAAGGGGTTGCTTAAATGGAATTGCCTTTGGGAAGAGTCCTCTGCATATAATTGTCATTTGTAATCTGGGAACAAAGGTGCGAACACAGCTCACTTTGCCAGGTTCCACGATGCTGATCTGCTGACAGACAGCAGGCATTAGTGAAATAAACAGGCAGGTACCCGGATGAGCAGCACAAGTGTAGTCTATTAACACACTGAGAACCTACAGCATTCCTGGGAGGGAAGGGTGACATGGCAATAGTGAGAAGTGTCACCGCCTTGCAGACCAAGTCAAGGTTAGGAAGGGATTGGAGACATCAGCCCAGGCTGGCTCTGGGCAAATGCCTTGGAAATGTGCAGCGGAAAGGTCTTTGCCCTCTGAAGTCAGGGCACTGGGCTCCACATTTGCCTCTGTCCGAGTCAGCTGTGTGACCTTGGATAAGCCTATGACCTCTCTGAGCTCTCACTTCTTCATCTATAAAGTGAACAGCTGAAGGATATATGTGTTTACATACTAGTATATGCATAATCATTTCTTAAAAGATAAACAAAAATACATTTATATATTTATCTCTTTGCTCTGAAGAGTGGGAGTGGAGGGACAGGAAGGAAATCGTTTTGTTTTTTGCTTTGGGGTGTTTTTTTACTTTTTAATTTCTTTCCCTCTTTAAAGTTTGAAGTTTTCATAATAAACATATATTGTTGTACCCAACCTTCGTGACCAGTTCACACAGAGACCAAATTGACTGTTTGGAGATTTTTATTAGCAGGCTACTGCGAGCAGGCTCCTGCCCCAAACAAAACTCACAGCCCCGAACAGTCTTCACAGGGAGAATATAAAGGCAAAAACCACGGCCTGGTTGGGGAGATTGCAGGTGGGGGACTAGCAAGCGCCAGACAGAAGCTAAGATAAGTGTTAATTAACCTTCTTGGTTAACTAATCCCTGGAATTTTTACAGGCGGAAATCTTTTACAAAGTTTACAAAGAGCCAGGGAGGGGAAGAGGTCATTGTTTCTACCAAATTTTGTTGCTCTTACTTATCTTCAAAGTAGTGGTTGTAAGGGTAGAAAATGGCAGTGTTATACTTCAGTATTAGTTTTATACTTTTATTTTTAAAAGAAACACAAACTAGAATGTTACGTTAAAAAAAGTACCAAATTTTAATATGATTCTATTCTTGCAACAAAACATAAACTGTATGTGCATTGTGCATGGGACAAATAGGTAGAAATGCGTTGGCAGAGGGTGAGAAAGAGACACCAAATAGTTCACGGTGGTCAACTGTGGAAGTGGTAAAGGAGGACTTGAGCACTTTCTCTTTTCTGATTCACATACTTACGTATTTCCCATGTAATGTTTCACAGAAGAGAATTTTTACACCATACACTTCATGTATTACTCATGTGATGTTTTACTTTTTTGTCTGTGTACTTATGTTACGGCCTGTGTACATTTCTCAAAAGACTAAAACAGAATGGAGAGATTGTCTGAGCTGAAGTCTAAAATTCCCTCATATTGATTAGTCTTCAAGTGAGAGTGTTTCAGACACATCTGGGCCATGG